CAGTTCGTCAGTCAGCGTGTACAGTATGCATTACGCATATTAAGTTACGAATGACTCGACGGTACATAGTTATAAATCCTGCAGCTACTCCAGAGTGTTTTTTCTAAGCAAGGCTCAATTGCCACTTGCACGTGCCCCTCATAAAAAGTTCTGCTATAAAAAAGGGGAAATTGCTGTTTCTATTTTGAATTGCAAATATGGATTGAAGCAGCTTTTCACAATGATATGGTATTTAAAGTTATGCGAAAGCTCATACTGACGATCAACCATCAAGTGGCGCACATCTTATATATAAAGCTGAATGTCTGTTTGTCTGTCTCTCTGTATGTCTGTACGTATGTTCCGAATAGAAAATTCCATTTCTGAACCGATCGGGACCAAACTTGGCACACATATACTTCGGGCCCCGGCGGGTGTCATAGGCTACTTTTCGTCATCGATCGATATTGATTTTATCGATTTTTTGCAAAATTTGAGCTACAGGGCTGGGAGGGGTGGAGGAACGAACACCTCAATTAGGCACCGCCTCCGCGGACCACTGGTCCCAACACGATGCACAACAGTAAGACGAAAGGACCAGCAGCCCGCGGAGGCGATGCCTCATTGAGGCGTTCGTTCCTCTACCCGGCTGGGAGTTGGCACAGGGGGGTAATCGAGCATGCTGATCACCCCCGTGGGGGTGATCAGCATGCTCGATTACATCCCCCTGCCAAATTCCAGCCCCCTAGCTCAAATTTTGCAAAAAATCGATAAAATCGACATCGATCGATAACGAAAAGTGGACTGTGGCACCCGCCGGGGCCCGAAGTGTATGTGTGCCAAGTTTGGTCCGGATCGGTTAAGAAATGGAATTTTCTATTCGGAATATACGGCGGAGCCGGGTAAGCCAGCTAGTTATTTTATAAAATCAGTCTGCACTTATTCTTTTTGCAAAAAGCACGGATTTTGTGCTCCGGTGTTCGGAATGAATATTTATAATATGACAAAGGTAGTACAAATTCATCCAGTGAGGCGGAAATTCTTGACTATCTTACTAAAGCTTTGTAATGGTACTGCAAGCATAGTATGAGCGATTGCTTTCAATATCGCGGAAAATGTATACTATTATGCTTATGTATTAGGTCGTTTCAAAAGTAATTTCGCTTTTTTCAAACGGGCACCACATTTGATGGAACAAAGGTTTCTAAGAGATCTTGGAGGCATTCGATGCAGAATTTTATTCTCTTTCTAATGGTCATGAAGTTGTTGCAAAACAGTCAATGAGCCTTCAGAAAATAACCAAAATTTGCGACCCATGCTTTTTGAGATGGTCAAGTTTCACGACTTTTTAGAACTTTCATATCAATCCACAGAAAGTGTTCAAGTAACCATTCGATAGGGTAAACCTTATAGAATACAGTACTGCCTTTTTCTCCTTTCCATAGCTTGCCATAGATTTTCAACAGAATTTTAACTGAAGCTACCGATTTCCATACTTGGGGAGCTAAATCCTCGTAGAACATCAAAAGAAGAGCAGCTCGCGCACTATTCGATGCAGCTTCTTCTCCTCTTTCTAACAAGTGTTTTTGTTTCCGATTCGTTTAGTTTCCGGAGATAAAATCATCATAACTCATTTTTTTTACGAGCCCCAGGCTGTACCCGAAAAACTCGAAATTTGATATTTCGAATCCGTAAACTCTCATTTGCTTTACAAAATCAAAATTAAGTCATATATCATCTTAAAAGTTTGAAATTTCGAGTAATTACTGATGTTTGAGGCGATTGCGGCTGAGGTGGGCCTGCCAAAATCCGATCGTTCTGCTAAAAAATCTTTTAAAAAATTACGGCGAGCTACGAGAAAGAGAAGAAAGCAGTACTGTATTTTGTAAGGTTTACTCTATCGAATCTTTACTTGAACTCCTTCTGAGGATTAATATGAAAGTTTCAAAAAATCGTGAAACTTGACCATCCCAAAAAGCATGGGTCGCAGATTTTGACTATTTTCTAAAAGCTCATTGACTGCTTTGCAACAGTTTTATAAACATTAGAAAGAGAATGGAATTCTGCATCGAACGCCTCCAAGATCTCTTAGAAACCTTTGTTCCATCATATGTGGCGCGCGTTTGAAAAAAGCGAAATTACTTTTGAAACGACCTAATATTATAATGTGAAAGGCATTAGATGGGATAACGGTAATGGAGGCCTATGTACTGTAAGGAATTTGGCTGTAACTATTGTAAATCGTAAACTATTGACTATATTGAGGTTCAAAACTCTCAAAATAAGGATTTTCAGAATATTCAGTAGAACCCTAAATGGCTTGCAGCTAACAAGGTAATGATCAAAAATCAGAGTGGTCAATTTAGACAAGCTGCACACCACTGTATGCAGCATAGCACGTTGACTTCGAGTCTATTTTCTGTATCTGCTTAGGCCTTTGTAAAGGAAGTTATGAGCCGTTAAAAGCCGTTATTTTGCTAGGAAAACGTTCATGCAAAGCGCAAATTTGGCAGTACAAAGCCACGTTCGGCTCAATGATGGGCTAAAACATGCAGCTAGGTTACTTTATATTTTTGAAGCTTAAAGGCTAGTGAAAAAGCAAAAATGTGCACAATTTCGCAATTTTTATTTAATTTTTCCTCAATAAAACTGCTCATAACTTCGTCCATAAAAAGAGCTAAGCAGATAAACTATACAGATTCAAAATTAGCGTTGAATGCTGCTTCGAATGGTAAGCAGCTTGTTCGGATCGCCACTTCGACTTTTGACCATTCCTCGTAATTTTTGGAATGTTGAACACCAGTGCGTCACCTCTGTTTCGCAGAGGCTCGCACTGGTCCTACTATCTGTACGCCTTACACATTCCCGCACAATAATGGCATTAAAACTCACCGTGCTATGCGGACTATCACAAATGACTTGTAAACAGCTATCCATTCTGAAAGCTTTTCGATAAGAGATCGGCAATTTCGCGTGAACGAGTTTTTTTCCAAAAGAACAAATGCAAATTTGAATTGGTTTTGAACTTTTCATGGCTTGGTATTCTCTATAAGATGCAATAATTACAGTGGGCTAAATCACTCTTCAAAAATCTTGTCAAATAATCGGATATCATGGCAAATAAAACATTTACGCAACCATTTCTTTTTGGCGCCTTTTTCGCAAAATGATAAACCTTAGTCCAGTATTTTAGGCTAAAGTTCATGGCTTGCACATTAGCTTGTCGAACATATCCGTGACTTTACAAAAAGTTGTGCTACAGCCTCAACTTTACCGGCCAAAAGCCAATTGGATCCGATTGAGGCGCATTTTTTGATGTATCCACTCAAGGGATCCGCTCTTGCATTTGTATGATGGACTCTCATGTTGGTAGGTGCGCTGTGCAAAATTTTTCCTTAGGATGTTTGCTGCAACACGTTCTACGAATTAACGTTTTACGAAATATATATATATACACCCACACCCACACACCCACACACCCACACACCCACACACCCACACACCCACACACTCACACACTCACACACCCACACACCCACACACCCACACACCCACACACCCACACACCCACACACCCACACACCCACACACCCACACACCCACACACCCGCACACCCACACACCCACACACCCACACACCCACACACCCACACACCCACACACCCACACACCCACACACCCACACACCCACACACCCACACACCCACACACCCACACACCCACACACCCACACACACACCACACACACACACACACACCCACACACCCACACACCCACACACCCACACACCCACACACTCACACACCCACACACCCACACACCCACACACCCACACACCCACACACCCACACACCCACACACCCACACACCCACACACCCACACACCCACACACCCACACACCCACACACCCACACACCCACACACCCACACACCCACACACCCACACACCCACACACCCACACACCCACACACCCACACACCCACACACCCACACACCCACACACACACACATATATATATATATATGAGCAAAAATCTTTTTGAAATCTTTCGTAAAACCTTCACAAACGACCATCTATGCAATCATCCTTTTTGGCGCCGTTGTCTCGAAAGAATGCGATTTTTAATTGTTTTTTCAAGCTTAACTCAATGACTTGAGGAATACATGCCAAAGGACTCTATAGTTTTGTAAAAAGTCTTGGTTTAAACCCAGTTTTGTAGGCGAAAAGCCGCATGGATCCATTTGGCCCACAAATTCCGCTGGTTCCGCTTATCGAATCGGCTTGGGCTTTTGCACAGTTGATCAATATGCTAACAGGGTGCTATGGTCAAAATTCTAGCTCAAGACCTTTGCTGGAACACACACACACACAAATACGCAAACAACGCTTAGCCCGTTGTAGTGTGGTGAGTAGTTAGTATGCGAGCACGAGGTTAGTAGATTTATTGTTAGTAGTGGCGACCTAACGTTTCGGCGATTTCGTCTTCTTCAGAGGCCTAAAGTGGTAGGAGATTTAGATCATAATATATAAAATCGTAAGGCGGAGTTCAAAAAAGCGGCAGAAGCGGGAAACTGCACTCGCAACGGAGCGCGGTTTCTCGCTTCTGCCGCTTTCTCGAACTCCGCCTCACGATTAGTTAACTATACGTTGTATGATGATTTCGCCGTATTATGGTTGCGTAGTGTGATAGTTTTGTACTGAGCTATTCAATTGCTGCAATTTCGAAATCGTTCGTATTTGTTGTTGTCGGTTTTTCTATCGTTTCGTACTGCAGTTTGCCGCAGAATTTCGATCCCTCTTATATTTTGCCAGATATGGAGTTTTATAATTTTCGTAATAACTCCTTGTGCTCCGTTCAATCTCCTTGTGCTTATCTTCGACAGATGCTGCAGCTGTAGTGATAACATGAAAATGAAAAAGCTCTATCAAATTTCAGTGCTCGCGAAACGCATGTACAACTCCTCTTTCATTTTCTGAAACGGAATACGATAAATGATTCATGCTCCTCCCGACGGACATGTCAAAAGACTTCTCAGGTCGTGATTTACCGACACTTAAGGAATAATGATTAGTTGAAGTGCCCTTATGAGTTGAAATGTGTAGTATAGCGCGTAAAATGCGTATTCGAAATCTACCTTCCTCATCTGCAAGGTATTCTTGGGCGTGGAGTTATTGAGACTGGTCTCAGAGAATCTAACAGCGCCCAAGCTGAAGCTTTCATTCTGAGAGATGTGCCATAACTCGTCAAAGATTTCATTGCTTTGACTCTGCGCTGTTTTTTGAAGTTTTGTCTTCTAGGATTTCCATCCTGCGGCAAAAGCGGGGAACTGCTTTTCCAGCGACAAAGTGGACTGCACCTTTCAATACGAATTAGTTTACGTAGGGAAGCTGTATCGCAGCGTGGCGAATCGCAGTCCTTGAACCTCCCAGGGGCACGAGAAGAAGCCAAAAAAAGAAGCGAGGTATGTTGAGTGTTCAAATTCTGATTGAATGTTCAAATTCTGATCATTTATATTTATGTATCTATCATTTATATGTATCTATTTGGTGGTCTTTCCAATATATATCCTTGGTGATCGTGTTTGCGTTTCGATGGTGAACGTGTTTGCATTCCGATTTGTTGATAGAGGTATTTAGTGCTAGAACTGAGATTCTGCATCTGCATATTCAACTTGCCAGAAAATTTTGTGTTTGAAGACGTTATTAGGGAGACTTCTCTCTTGCAAAAATCTGATCTGACTTGGCTTATTTTGGAGATTTGTCGGAAATCCTTGAAACTTTTGCTGTGATCTTTCAAAAGGGTATTTTGTGCTAGAGTTGTAATTCAGAATCTTCAGCTTGCCAGAAACATCTTGTGTATGAAGGATGTGACGCTATTCGGCTATCCAGGCTGCGTTTTTTGTCATGGATTTCTTTAACACTTGGCCCAGAGGGGTTATCTTGCATGCTGATCACGAGTATCACATTTTTTCGGCGCGAAAACGCCTCCCTGTGCGGACGGTAGGTATACGGCAGGGGCCAAAATCACAGATTTCGCTGAAAGATGGTCGAGGGAGGTTACTCGACCCGTTGATGCCGAAATCATATTTATTTTGTACGATAGCTTCATTTTCTAGGGCTACCGTTGGCTAAAACTTGGCCTGAGGGGGTTATCTGACATGCTAATCACGAAAATCATACTCTCTTCGCATGATATGGCCCTTTTATGGAGCTACTGTAGGTTTAGGTAGGGGTCAAATTGGCGAGTTGGCCTGAAACTTTCTGTTTGAGTGCCGTGGTAGATCGACTTGCCCTACCGTCATGCTTTTCATACAGGACCATCGCCGTGCGCGACACACTCTGCGGCGGCTTGCCTAAGCAAACACAGGCAAAGAGGATTTGCCGCGTACCGTGCGACCATATATATCTACCATATACAAAAGAAATACGTCTTCGTGAGGTAAAGACGTGATTTCCGTGATCAGCATGTCGAATCACCCCCGGACAAGTTTCAGGCGCATCCACGATGTCGATCCCTCATCTTAATTCCACTGTAACTGTAAAAAATGGCGCTACCGTACGAAAACCAATTTGACATACGGCAACAGCGGAGGTCGAATAACCCTCCTTCACCGATTCTGAGCAAAATCCACGACTTTGACCCCCAACCGTATATCCACTGTAACCCTAGAAAATGACGCTACCGTACGAAAGCAGTACGATATCTATGAAGCGGATTGAATAACCCCTCTCGACCAAGTTTTAGCAAAATTCGTGACGAAGAAATTGGGCCCCGGATAGCCGAATAGCGCCGAAGATGTTTTGATCCGAGAGACTTTTTCCCTTCTGCAAACTGATTTGACCTCTAGCCGAGACTTTTCTCTTTTGTAAACTGACTTGGTCTTTAGCCAGTTGTCGGAAATCCTATCAAACACTTCATCAATCAAAGAAGTCAGACATTTGTCATCTTTGTTATGTTCGTACAAATGCCCTTTTTGATGTACGTTATTTCACTGCTAAGGTATGATTTCACCTTTTTGAGTTCATGGAAGGCTGGAACACATATGGTTTGCCATCAGTGTCGTGAATTATCGACATTGTGTTCTCATATCACGGCATGAAAATGGAAATCAGCGAACGAAGATCATATTTTTGAGAACAAGTTGCCTTTTAGGCACAGGCAACAGAAGGGGAGTAGTATGCCCTCAATAGTCACAATTTGACATAAATAAATGAATGCTGAGTTTGAGAAGCCTAGCTCTCACAAAGCTTGTGAGCAAAATGAGCAAAAGTTGTGTTCCGATTGTTGATGGCGAGGTTTTCCATTTGCAATTGAGATTATCATGTGATAAGTAGTCTAATTAGCAGCCAGATGAAATTCTTATTTGTTTCCCAAATGTTTCTTTTGATGTTTTTGCGAAATCGCCAACTTTCTGTGAGGCGCCAGTAAACTTAGTCATGAACATGAGAAACATGTAGCATTCTTTGTTGGTTTACGCAGGTTTTTCGAGGGATCAGGCCTTTTGTATCGGTGATCCATGACTTACGTATAATATCGCGAAGTTTGGTCTGTGGTTGTCCAGCTTCCTTTTGATCACTATGGCCAGACTTCGCTCAGAAGCGCCTAAAAGCACTCGAAAGCGCCCAAAAGCGCCCAAACTTCTCTAACCTCTCTTCGCTCTCTCTCATCTCTCCTCACATGAGAAAATGACGAGAGGTCAGAGAAGTTTGGGCGCTTTTGAGCGAAGTCTGGCCGGGACCTAAGAGGATTTGGAATGTTCTTTTTTCAATTGCTGAAATGTTGCGTATCAAGTCTTTTGTTAGACAAAACAACAACAAGCACTTTCTTTTGTTTGCAGGGCAGCGCCGCGCAACATCAATATTTCAGCAATATACTGTTGGCGACACGAATGTCACAGGTTAATATCTTACTCTCTCATCCGGTTTTTGTTTGCAATATTCCTCTCTCTTTAATCTTTCAATGCTACCCCTAGGTGTATCATGTTCCAGGCATGACCCTGAACAACCGCGTCGACGATGCACTCGACTGGAACCGCCTCGCGGCAATCTAGCAGCCGGTGGTAGATTGTTTCCCGTGTTAAAGCTTCTTACGTTCACATAAAGTACAAAAGTGCATCAGCGCTGTAGTATTTCTGCTCAGGCAAAAAGCCGCTTTCAGTATTTGAGCGGACTGGAACTAAACTAGCTTTGAGCCTATTATGCTGTGAGGATATCTTGCCCTGATTAGCTTCTCTTGCCGTTCATAGTGTTGATGGATTTTTGAGGCGTTGAAGCTATCTGGATTAAAAGGCCAAACAAGCCTACTTTCTATTCGAAATTTACTTCAAGCATAGTGACAGCTTGTTACTGGCAAGGTCCCCCTTGCTTTCTGTGATGAGGGGGGTGTATAGATGCTATTAGTTAGTTTCTTTTGAAATCATGATGCTGAATTTTTGAATTTCATTGTAGTCTGCCGTCAGATCTGTACAAGTAATGATATACTTGTTTTTAGCTGTACAGTTGTTTTTGCTCATGCATACCAAGAGTGTCTCTTTCTCTCAGTTTCTCCTGGTCATTTTCTCCATATGATTAGCTTTTTCGCTGAGAATAGTCCAACATTTTTTGGTTCCTTAGGTACGAGCCATACTTGCTCCACATGATCCACTTCGGTACTGCTCAAGCCAGTGCAGTGATCAATAGCGAAGTCGATGAAGTGGATCGTGCACATTCACTTCGCTGTTGTTCGCTGATATGAGCAATAGCGAAGTGGATCAAAGGGGACCCGTCACACTTCGCCGAAAAAGGCCCAAAAGCGTCCAAAAAGCCCAAAAAGCCTGAGCAAGCCCGAAAAAACCCAAAAAGGCCCGAAAGAGCCGGAACACCCCTTGCGTTTTGACGCTAAGGCGTGCGTGTTGATTTCGCAACCGGGTCTTTTTACTTCATTTTCTGTCGTCTGCCCATAAAAATAATGCCACAATTCTACCAAATGTTCGTTTCTGCAATCCGGCTCTTTCGGGCCCTTTCAGACTTTTTTGGGCTTTTTCGGGCTTTTTCCGGCTTTTTTGAGCGTTTGTGGACTTTTTTCGGCGAAGACAAAAAGAGGAGTCCCATTGGGTTAAGCGAATCATGGCGCGTGCCTATAGATGCAGACCCTGCTGTTGAAAAGGAGAGATGTGAGAGGCGTTTTGTGTGCTTTTCGGTTCATATTTATCCCCGCTTTCTATCCATTTTGCGAAGGCTCCATTCCTACGTGCGTTTGGCATATTGATGACAATGTGATCCACATGCTCCATGACCACGGCTCAAAATTTTCAAAATGACTATCGTGAACTACAATCGTTCAAAAGTTCTCTTACACTCTGACCCTAAAGACCCTGGTTTGACACATTGACGACAATGTGCCCACATGGTAGGTCACGGCTCAAAATTTTTAAAATGACTGCTATCTTGAACTACAGTCGTTTCGTTCTCTTACGCTCTGACCCTAGAGAATATTTTTGCGTTTGTCACCAGCTCCATAGGAATATTGTCGGTGTACTTTAGTTGACGATCTGCATGATTTAAGCTGAATATTTTCGATTTAACCATGAAATGCATTGTCTTACGAGGCAGACAAATAAAAATGCTTGTTGTTGTCAACGTGTTAATGAATAAAAAGCATTTTCATAAAACTGACATTTTCATAGTTTTGAGTGATTCTGGGAGTTTTCAGAGCATCACTGTCCTATTCGGAAATTATCATCATCATGTATCTTTCATTAAAGGCAGCTCCTATCAAGATGATGGGTACTGCGATTTCAAAGCGCTGCAGTGGCAGGCCCTCAACTAAATTTTGCAGGGAGTGCAGACATGGAGAGTTTCGAAGAAGCTCATTTTCGTCATTTTTGCTGCTGCAAAGCCCATGTATAGGTTATGCTGCAAAGCCCATGTATAGGTTCAGCGTGCCGAGAAGGCTCCAAAAAGCTGAAAGCGAGATCTTGCCGAATTAATGCCTTTGAACTCAAAAATGTCATAAATTTGCGCTGAGGATCTACCATAGCAGTGCTAAGCATGTCTTCGATAAGACATATAGATATGGAAGTCATGAGTTTTCCGAATAACTCCGGTACGAGAGCGTAGTTTATTACAGATTTCAACATCCTGAAATTGCATTTATGTACCCCACAAACATGCGATGCACTATCATACTAGATTTACTGCAAAACTTCACGGTGTTTCCAATGAATTTGTCAAAAGGTAAACGACTTTGATTAGGTGTGGTCTTCATTCTTTTTTTGTTCCCCTGTGTTCCACCAGGGGACCATGAAAACAGTGAAAAACCTAATATGATCTGGCTCGCTCGCCATACCAAAGTAATCAGATAGTAGAGCCTCTAAAAAAAGGATAGGAAACGAGGGACACACACTCCTAGAACGCCAAGACGTAAACCGCCCTCCTCGCCTCTCCTCCCCATCGAAAGTGTACGTGCATACGGTCCTAAACGTCTGTGGTACTCAAGAACGCTCAGACATCAGTAATTAGACAATTCCTCAAGTTTTGATTATGTCAGCTTCGAGCAAGGAAGTGCATGTACAGAGCTTATCAGTTGCAGTGTCGGATGCACCGGAATCTTCACTTTCGCGCGGGACTCTGCACCTCTTCCGCGAACATGCTCCGTAATCAAATCCAATCGATCGAGGCTCCGCCTTTCCTCCGCTCGCAGAGGGAAAATGATCAGAGAGCATGTTCGCGAAAGAGGCGCAGGGTCCAGGCGAAGCGGCCTCGCGGGAGCGGAGATGCTGGTGCTCCCGACGCTGCAGTTGATAAGCCCGTAATAACGCTAGCTCAAATTTTTGAAAGAAAATTATGAGGAACCCTACCAGCAGACCTTGAAGAAAAGATTTTGTGATTTTGCTATAGGAAGGCTATCAGTAGAGACACAGAGCAAGAAAAATAGGCATCTTGAATCTAGGAGATCGAGAGGAAAATGAGCAAAGGATTTTTTTAAGGGGGGGGGGGCTGCGTGCAAAAGTTGAGGGAGTAGGAAGCTGTGGACCTGTAGCTATATCACCACTGAGGAGGTTACGGAATGGGTGCGGTGAAACTCAGCACCATCAACACCTGCAGGAAAAATATTTGGTACTTAAGTTAGGATAACCTTGGAGACATCATAGGGCTTTGGAATGCAAAGAGGGGCGAGAAGACGGCACTTTGGATAGCTTGGCTCTAGGAATAGAAATAGGGTTGGTGGCTGAGAAATTTTGAAAAATCGAGCTTAGGGTACATTATGAGGTTCTGTAAAACTTGGAGACTGGATCTCAGCCAAAAACTTTGAGTTCCTATGCACTTACATCCCCTTGGGGAGGGGAGGGGATCTGAAAAGAGACATGGCATATCTTGATACTCTGAATATTCATTCTTCTACTTTCTATACCTGGGTTCTAGAGTTTGTCATACCCTGTACCCGCACATAATGGGATTGCCAGGATACTGCCATACAACATCAGGTTTTCATTATTTTTTATCCCCAGGGAAGCACCTCTCATTTTCAAAGTCATTTATCATCTTATAAATTCATTGAAAACGTAAAACTGTGCCGAGAATATAATATGGCAATAATAGAAGTGGAATCTCAGAATATCGAAATCTTCGAAGAACTACTGTTCGCGAGCTAGGGATAATAAAAAATTCAAAATCTTCAGACTTATTTTTTGTAGGAAATATGCTCAACAGTGCCGTAGTATATCCTCAGCACAATTTTGCAATGTTTCCATTGACTTTCCAGCAAGATAGATGACTTTGAAAATGAGAGGTGATCCCTTGGGGATCCCCCAAAGGATCACATGAATTGGTGAACATCTACCCTGTAGTGGCGAACCGTGGAGAGTGGGGGGGGGGGGGGGGCTCTCCACGGTTCGCCACTACAGGGAATGTCGCGGAATGGGTCGCGGAATTTCTGAAAGTTACTTATATGGGCCACAAAAATGTGCAACTGACTTGTTTATACATGTAAATAATTGAAAGTTTTTTGAAATTCAGAATTAGCCTTGTAAAAAAATTTTTTTGGGGGTGGGGAATGCCCTCTTTTTCATTTCAGGGGTCATGGGCTCGAAAAATTTTAAGAAGCACCAAAATTTTTTTTCGGAGACGCCACGCACTTAAGTTTGAAAAAAATTTTTGCCTCGACCTCTCCCCCCTTTCCCGGTCCGAAATCGTGAGACCGCCACTGCAATACTTGTATGGCAGTAACCTCTCAGAGAAGGCGGTAGGCATTAGTTGCGTTGGCGGTAGGCATTAGTTGCGGCGCAGTGGCCGCATTCTCGTGGGCTCTCCGCGAGAATATGCAAAGTTGAGGGCCGCACGTTCCTTTGTGAAAGACCGCACGGCTTATGGGTACCTTCAGCTAGGAGAAGGTACCCTAAATTTGTGTAATTAAACCATCGAAGACACTTCTGCCATATGGAGTAACTAGAGTACTCCGTACGCCCGAAACTGCGTTAAAAGTGTCCGAGCGCGCTAAAAGAAATTACTTGACGAGCGCTCGCAGAAAATTTTTAACTGCTGCTCATTGCACGATATGCGACGGTAAAGGAAGTACCGCCTGCTGAAGTTTTGGCCTATGCTCCGAAATTCTGGTGACCGCTTTCAAAAAAGCGCGAGTTTGCGATTCGCCTGCCCCGGCGATTACCTGAGCTAGCATACTTCCAGAGATTCGTCGGAGGGAGGCGGCCATGCTTTTTACAGGCAAGCGGGAACCGGAAAAATAGTTCGCTAAGTTCTTGCGGTCCGTTTGCAGATATTCGAAAGAATGTTGGCCACTTTTTATAGGAACATTCAGAGGACATTTGCGCCTTTTTAGAATTGATTGCGGCACAATGACCGCATTCTGATGGACCTCGAGAATGCGCAGAATTGTTGAGGGTTGCAAGGATTTTGGAGCTGCGCAGCTCATAGGTACATTCCGCTTAGAGAAGAAATTATTTGACGAGAGCTCGCAGAAAACAGAAAAAAGTCACTGCAAAATGATGGAACTCCCGAATCTTCTAAAAATCTCCACCTTTAGTTGGTGAGAATGTGCTTGATCTCTGCGTGAGACGTTGTTAAGCGCTTCCCATCCACTGGCAATTTCTGTGGGATCCGTCGTACTTCGCCGAAGAAAGCCCAAAAGCGCCCAAAAGAGCCCGAAAAAGCTCAAGAAAGCGCGAAAAAGCTCAAAAAGCCCGAAAAAGCCCAACAACCCAAAAGCGCCAGAAAGAGCCGGAATACCCCCAAGTTTTAGCGCTAAGATGTGTGTTGATATTGCAAACGAGTCTTTTTGATTCATTTTCTGTCCTCTGCACATCAAAATAATGTCAGAATTCCACCAAAAGTGCGTTTCTGCGTTCCGGCTTTTTCTGGCGCTTTCGGGCTTTATCGGTCTTTGTTGGGCTTTTTCAGGCCTTTTGGAGCGCTTTTGTTTTCTCGGCCAAGTATGACGGGTCCCTTTCTTCATGAAAACGAAGTTTTCGTGGAAGAGCCGTGGAGTAGAGAGAAATCGAACTGGACGTGCCGTTTTCT